GACGGTGAGGTTGGCATGGGATAGAGGAGGGTTTAGGGCTCTTGTACATAGGGTCGCTATGAGTTGCAAGCAACTCAATGGCACATTACAACAACAACAACAGACCAATGAACCCACTTGGACTGGGTTTTTCCCCTCTGAAAACAGTTAACTTTAATCTAGTCGGTTCTGGGGAACAGAGAGAGCCAGAGGGGCAACCACAATTTCACATTTCAGGAAAGGACTGGGTAGGAGGGATTAACAGCAAAGCTGGGGCTCTAGAGAGTCCCCCCCCCCAAGAGCAACCTATCATGTGCTGGGGAATTTTTAGGGACATCTTAAGACATTTGAAACGGGTGTTTATGAACTTGGATGCAGACCTAAAGGAAGCTGTGGGGGGGTTTAGTCCACAAGAAGTTGCACTGCTAACCCAAAGCCCACCCGTCTCTGGCGGTTCAAATCCACCAGTGACTCCACGAGATAAAAATGCAGAATCTCCGCAGGTATGATTTACAGTCTCATAATCAGAAAGGTCAGATATGGGTCGGAGGCCACTTGATGGCAATTAGTGAGTGGTTGTTCTTGTGAACCATGGAATTGGAACTGACCCATAGCTGACCCTCCGGCAGGTTTTCAGAGGCAGTTAATCGCTTGGGAGGAGATTGCACATCCTTCTCCCACAGAGCAGCTGGTGAATTCGAACCACATGCCTTTGGAATTGCAGCACAGCTTCTTGCCACTGGGCCAGTGAGTAAGACTACCTAAACCAGTGATCTCTAGGTTATATTGTTCATTGAAACAAGCAACACGCAGATCAGCGGGCAAAGGGCACTGGCGTTTTGTATTGAACAGTAAGGACGCAAATATACCTGCTTCTGTGTATAAAGGGAAAACTGGATAAAGTGACGATGCTGGCATGTCTGGGGTTATTAATCAGTGCTAATCTCTCATCTACATCTCTCCCTGCATGTATCCTGTCTACTCTGTGATGTCAGAGCTTATTCTCCCAATGCACCTGTTGCTCTGGCTGGCGAGAAGGAGCTGTGGCTGGTTCCTCCCCATCCACCCCAGAAGCAATTTCCCAAACCTCCGCCCCACTTCATGCCACCGTTGGCCATTATCACATACCATCCAAGTTTTGTTTTTCTCACTGAACACATACAACATTCAATCTCTTGTGTGTTGTCAGTCATTCTTCCAAGGGAAAAAAAACCCACAAAACAACATGTTGTCATGGAGTCAGCTGCAACGCATAGCTGTTTGAGGGCAGAACAGAACCACACCATGGCCTTTGAAGGTGGTCTTCTTGGCAGAATTAGACTGACTCATCTTTCTTCCCCAGAGCGGCTGGAGGGATTCTCCATTCGTACCAGCCTAAGTGTTGCCAAAACATGCGGAATACATCATGACTGCAAGAAACAAACATGTCTCTTGGAAGAAATGCAGTTCGAAGTTTCCTTCAAGGTGAAGAAAGCAAGAGTTCATCTAGATTGCAAATGCCAGGTCCCTTCTCTGAAGGTCACTCTGCTCTCCTGGCCAAGTGTCTTCCCTTTGGCCCTTCAAGTTTCCCCCTCTCCTCATCCCCCCTCCCCAAGCTCCTCTTTGACCCCAATCCCATCCCACATTGGACCTTCTCTCTTCTGTTCCTTTCAGCCCCATTCCTCAAGCCTCTCAATTGCCCCATCTACACCCGTTGGGCCACACTCCCTTCTAAGCCTAGGCCCATTCTTCCTGGCTAGTTCTGCCCTTTTATCGGGAAAACTTGAGAGATTTCTGGCTACCTAGATCCATTCCCAAAAATGGTGATGGAACAGAATGTAGAAATTATCAAACAATATCACTAATATCCATAGTCAACAGTCTTGGCACCAGCAGCCAGGAAATTAAAAGGCACATTGCCATGGGAAAGTCTGCTGTTAGGGACCTCTCCAAAGTACTGAAGAGCAATGGTGTCTCTCTGGAGACTAAGGTACATCTGATACAGGCTATGGTCTTCGCAATCACTTGTTATGCATCAGAGAGTTGGACAATGACCAGGGAAGACAGAAGGAGAATTGATGCCTTTGAGCTGTGGTGCTGGAGAAGAGTATTGAAAATACCATGGACTGCTAGGAAAACAAACAGATTTGTCCTGGAAAGGGTTAAACCGGGTGGCTCCTTGGAGGCACAGATTCTGAGGTTCCGTCTAATATACTTTGGACATGTTGTGAGGAGAGACCGGTCCTTGGAGAGGGACATCATGCTTGGGAGGGTGGAGGGACAGCGCAGGAGAGGAAGGCCCTCTATGAGGTGGATTGATTCAGTGACTGGGATAATTGGGATGGGAGTGTCAGAGACAGTGCGAATGTCACAGGACAGAGCGGAGTTGAGGGCTGTTGTACATAGGGTCGCTATGAGTCGCAAGCGACTCGATGGCACATAACAATAACAACATCACTAATATCCTACACACAAGCAAAATACTGCTAAAGATTATTTTTTTTTAATTACAAAGGGAGCTCTGGTGGCCTAGTGGTAAGAAACTGCACTGCAATCCCAGAGGTACATGGTTCAAATCCACCAGATGCTCTGCTGGAGAAGGTGGGGCAATCTCCTCCTGTACCAGTCAGATCTGATCTGATGGTACATATACAAAATAAATAATTGTTTTTAAAAAATGACAAACAGTACATAGAGAATTGTCAAAAGTTAAAGTTGGGTTTAGAAGGGGCATGACACTAGGGACATTGGAGCCAATGTCAGATAGATCTTGGCTAAAAGCTGAGAGTATCAGAGGAATGTCTACCTATGCTTCTTGACTATACAAAGGCATTTGACTGCGTAGATCACAACAAACTGTGGCTAACATTGACAGAAATGGGAATCTCAGACCACCTGATTGTGCTCATGCAAAATCTATTACTTAGACCAGGAAACAGTCATCAGAACAGAGCAAGGAAACACTGCATGGTTCAAAACCAGGAAAGAAGTATGTCAGGGATGTGTCCTGTCTTCATACGTTTTCAATCTGTAGGCAGAACAGATCTTTCGGGAGGATGGACAATGGGAATGCTTGAGCTTATGGAGTTTAAACCATGCCTTGGTTTTTAAATCTGGTTGGAAATTGAGAGAGCTGCAGAATGCACCCAGTCAGGCACTTGGAAGTGGGAGTGGCATCCACTTGCAAAATAGCTCGCCTCTGGAAACTCTAAGAACTTGGAGAAAGGATGAAAGTTATACAAGTGTTCAGGTCTTTTGTTCATAGGGTCACTAGGAGTCATCTACAACTCGATAGAACTTAACAACAACATGCAGAACAGATAATTCAGGAGTATGGACTTTTTTTTTTACTTGTTGTGTGCTGTCTGATTGGATCCAACTGGCACAAAAGGAGATTGCCCCTTCTTCTCCAGGGGAGCATCTGGTGGATTCAAACCATGTGCCTTCAGGATTGCAGCACAGCTTCCTGCCACTAGGCCACCAGAGCTCCTTTGGATGGACTTTATAAAAAGGAATGTAGCATCAGGATCGGAGGTACATCTTTCCTTATGCAGACAATATAATCTTGTTTGTCAAAACTGAAGAAGACCTGAAGCTTTTGCTGCAGAAGGTCAAGGACTGTAGTCTTCAATATGGATTGAAGCTCAACATCAAGAAAACAAAAATTCTCACCACTGGGCCAATTGGCAGCTCCATGATAGATGGAGAAAAGATTGAGATTGTTAATAATTTCATCTTGCTCAGTTCCACAATCAACAGTCTTGGCACCAGCAGACAGGAAATCAAAAGACAAATTACACTAGGAAAATCTGCTGTCATGGACCTCTCCAGAGTGCTAAAGAGCAACGATGTCAGTCTAGAGACTAAGGTGCACTTGATTCAAGCCATGGTCTTCATAATTACTTGTTATGCATCAGAGCACCAGAAAGTGACTAAGGATGACAAAAGGAGAATCAATGTCTTTGAGTTGTGGTGCTGGAGAAGAGTATTGAACATAACATGGACTGCCAAGAGAACAAACAGGTCTGTCCTGGAGAGGGTAAAACCAAGTTGTTCCTTGGAGGCAAAGATTTTGCAGCTCCATCTCACATACTTTAGGCATGTTGCCAGGAGGGATCAGTCCTTGGAGAAGGGCTTCATGCTTGGAAGGGTGAAGGGACAGCGCAGGAGAGGGAGACCCTGGATGCAATGGATTGACATAGTAACTGGGGTAATGGGAGTATGTGTGTCACACATAGTGAGACTGACTCAGGATAGGGCGGGGTTCAGAGCTATTATACAAAGGGTCCCTATGAGTAGCAGATGACTCCACCGGACATAACAATAACATCATTCCTTACCCTTTCAGAAGCTCTTTACCCTAGATCTGGCATTTATCACCAGAGCCCTGGTGGGGTAGGTAGTTTATACAGATTTACACGGCTGAGCCAAAGCCTGTGCCTCTCAGGTGGTTTGAATCCACCAGCAGCTCCCCGGGAGAAACCCGGGTAATCTTTCCCACGTGATTTCCAGCTTCGGACGCCCAATGGAGAATCAGCTACCAAGTGGGGTTCCAACAACCTGACAGCAATGACTTCTGTGCATGAGAATGGTCTCTACCAGGAAAATATTTACTCAACAAAACAGGATTGACAAATGATTGTAATAATGGGTTTAAGCACAGCGGAGTGACGATGCAGCAGTCGCCAAGAACAACACTGGCCTATCCCTGACTTCCCTCTTTGCATGCAGGTCCAGCCTTAACCCCATCTCTCCCTTAACCTACCTGCCCTCCCTGCTTTCAGCAGACCCCTTAACCCTCGGAAGCCTCTACGCGTTGTATTTGACAACCTCCTGACCACGCCCTCTTCCAGATGGGCCCGCCCCCCATATCTGACTTGTCTGCAGGCCCCTCTCCAGTCCACAGTCCAGGTCCTCTCGTTCACTTCTCCCTGTAACCTCTCTCTCTGGCGGGTGCCACGCTTGTCCCTCCAATGCCCTGCAGCCCCTAAAAGCCCACGCTGACCACTAGCTCCCCCTACGCCCGCTTTACTGCAATCGCCATGGGCCCCAAGCACTCGGCACGCGCGCCACTCCCAGCTTCTCGGCCCCGCGCGGAGGGTCCCACTCGCCTCGTGCCAGCCCCACGCGCCTGCGCTCGGATCCACTCCCCGCCACCGCGGGCTCGCTTTTGCGCACAGATTTCACGGCGAGGGGCGGAGCCAGACGGGGGCGGAGCCAGACGGGGGCGGAGCCAGACGGGGGCGGAGTCTGAGAGACTGGCAGTCCCGCCCCTTCCGCCTTTACTTGCGGGGGACCCTGGGAGTTGTAGTTCGCTTACGAGAAGGCGTCTTGAATAGCCCACCACCACTTCAGTAGTGGGGTGAACTCTGTTACAGAGCGCTCTGGGAAGCGATATGCTGGTGTGGTCGTGGACCTCAAAAGGGATGAGCGGGAAAGAGAACGATTTTGAGGGTGAAAAGGGGGTGGAGGGTTAATAATCTGCTCGAGGCACAGCGGGAAGAGAAGCGGGGGAGCTCGCGCACGGCATCCTGCGGGCAAGAGCTTGGCAGGACTTAGCGCGGGGCCTTGTGGGAGTGGGCCCTGGAGTGGGGAGGGGCGGGCGGGGTGCACATCTGGGACAGGGCGGAGGCACAGCTGGGTGGGAGGGCGGTGGGGTTGGGAGGAGCTGCAGCAGAGATTGAAGGAAATCAGGGGGACAAGGCGCGGGGGTACATCTGGGGTGAAAAAGACAATTTGAATGAGGCTCAATGTACATATATTACAGAATGCACATCTAGGGAGCACAGCGACTGTAGCGTGTTGGAATGGGGAGGCGGAGGGATAAGGGGACCACACTGTAAGAATCAAATATCAAAAACTCAGTTTCTGACAAAGTGCAGCTACCTCCATCCCACTCGCTTGCGTAGTTCCAGCGAGCAACCTCCCCCACCTGTGATAAACCACACTCTGTTGGCCGACTTCCATAAAGTGGAACTCTTCTTCAAGGACATGAGGGATTTTTTCTGCAGCCCTGTGTCTGAAGTAGCCAGTCAGACTCAAATAGGTCTCCAAGCTGCTTCCCCACCAATTATGCTCAAACAAGTCTCCAAACTGCCTCCCTGAGCTATGGTTAACCAATAAAGAGCAAACTAGTACTACAACTGCTATAAGTAACCAATCATAAACTGTGTAGCTAGACGGAAAAACCAAGAAAGTATAAAAGGGAGGGCTCCCTTTGTCCCGGGGCTCTCGGGTTGATGCTGCTGTGTCAGCACGCGGGAGCCCGGTTCGAACTCGAAATAAACTTTATCAATTCGGCTAATTGGCTCGATGGTCTTTTCTGGGGACTCGCTCTGTTACACACACAAATGCGTAGTGGTGACACTTTAAGCAAGGATTGGCCACAATAAATGGGGTAGACACCTGCAGGTGAAGGGTCTGTTACTGGATTTGGGGCGCACCTTTGGAGATGGGAGCATCTCTGGGAAGCAGGGTCCACAGCTCTGTGCTGGGGAGATGCAAGGATAGCGTTTCTGACAGGTCTCCAGCTGCATTTTAGAGGCACGTCTGAGTAGGAGAGTGTCAAAAGTGCATGAAGAACACAAAGGGGGGGGGTCCATGGCAATGTGGAGAGCACATCTGGAGACAGAGGAGAAGGAGGTGGGGTCACATAGGGCCCAAAAGAGTTGGAGTTCATCTCTGGAGAGAAATGGACAGAAGAGCTCCTGACCCTAACTGAATAGAAGCATTATCTCTAAAGGGACAGCAGGCTGAGAGGGGTGGAAGTGGGGTACCCCAGGTGAAGATGAATCTAATATCTGGGTATCTCTCCCTCCCCAGTTTAGGCGCCCCATGACAGAGTAGCTAGAGCCTCCACCTGGCACCCCGGTGGGGCAGAAGGAGCAGGAACTGCTGGAGCGGGCCTTCTCCTGGGTTGAATTCAGGCAATTCTTCGATGTGTGGTGTCAGCATCAGCTGATAATCATCACCAAGAGCTCCGTGCACCTGGCTTGCTGAAGCTGGGCCAGTGCGCCCCAGTTCCTCATCAATCAGTGTGCTCAATTAAAGCTATTTGAGGCTCATGGGTAAGGACACGGGCACCCCTAGCTGGCCTGCAGAGGATTGTGTGAACCTGAGCCTTTGCCTCACTAGGATAGGGGACCAGGAGAGGAGAGGCTGCCAGAGAGCTCCCACCCAAAGTTGAGGGAAGACCAAGACAGTTAAATAAACTCCCAGAGAAACCAGACTATCTGTCTATCAATAGTCAACTGATCACCTCATTGCCATCAGTCAGAAAAAGAGACCAGCTCACAAGCCATTTCCTACAGCTGTATCAGGCCACAGCAGTGAAAGCAGCTGCCAACCCGAAGGTGAGAGGTTCAAATCCACCAGCTGCACTTTGGGAGAAGGATATGGCAGTCTTGTTTTCATGAAGATATCCAGCCTTACAAACACTGCAGGACAGGTCTGCTCTGTCCTCCGGGGCCTCATTGAGTTGGAATTTACTCCACAGCAGTAGGCTTGGCTTTGGCTTTGTTTTTATGACGTTATGCTATAGAAACAAAGTTGTTAGGTGCTGTTAGGTCAGACCCAACACATAGCTGAGATGCCTGCAGGTTTCAGAGGCTGTAAATCTCTCAGGAGGAGCTTGCTCATCCTTCTGCCATGAGTAGCTGAGCTATGCCTTGGGGTTGACAGTACAACGCCTTACCCATTAGGCCACCAGAGTTCCCTTCAGAAAACAAAGGGTGAGTGAGAAGCCCAGGACACCCAGGACACGTGCATTTGGTGGATGGCCAGATATTTTAATTAACCCTAATTTTAAAACCACTTAACATCATCATTCAACCCATCTCGATGTATGTTAGAACAGCTGCACTTTGCAGAGTTCTCAGTGACTTGTCATTTCAGGCATAAATCACCAGACCTTTCTTGCAAGGTGCCTCTGATGCATTTGAACTGTTAACCTTAGGGTTAACCCTCGGAAAAAGAGGTCAGTACTTTAGCCATTTATACAACCCTGGGCCTCCTCAGTGACCCAAGAGGACTGTAAGTCAGTTACCAACCTAAAGGTTGGCAGTCCAAACTCACCTAACTACTTTTCAGAAGACCTGATGTTTCCATAAAGATTTAACCTGTTGCTGGAGAGCCCGTCCTTACTCGTGACCAGGAACCCTATCAGACAGACAGGGTTGTACCCCATAGGTTTCAAACTCACTGCTTGTCAAGCCGATTCTGACCCTTAGCCACGCCGCACTGGGTTTCCAAGGCTGTAAATCTGAATACAAGGAAGACTGCCCGTCCCTCTCATGTGGGGCTTTAGGTTGACCTGACCACTGGAGGCAGCCGTTTAGCAGCTAGCATGCTTCAGACTACTCCCTCGCAGTGTCTGATTTGTATGTCTGTAAATCTTTACAGAAGCCCACTGTCACGTCTCTATTCCACTGCACAACTGTTAGTTGTTGCTGTTGTTAGGTGCTGTCGAGTCGAGTATGACTCATAACGACCCTATGAACAAAAGATGTGAACCCGGCTCTATCCTGTGTCCTCCTCATACTTCCTGACACACAAGGGCCCATTGCAGCAGTCACCGTGTAAATCCACCTGGTGGAGGGTCTTCTTTGCCAACCCTCCATCCTTCCCAGCATCATGTCCTTCTCCAAGGAATAGTCCCTCCTAGCAACATGCCCAAAGTATGTAAGGCAAAGCCTCATCATTCTTGCCTCCAAAGAGCACTCGGACTGCACCATCTGCAAGACATACCTGTTCTTTCTCTTAGTCCATAGGATGTTCAGTGCTCTTCTCCAACACCCCAGCTCAAAGGCATCAATTCTTCTGTCATCCTTATTCACTGTCCAGCTCGCAGGTGCATAACAAATTGGAAAGACTATGGCTTGAATCAGACACACCTTACTCCTCAAACTGACATCACTACTCCTCAATAATTTGGAAAAGTTCCTAACTGTAGATTTTCCCAGTGCAATGTCTCCTAATTTCCTGACTGTGGGTACCAAGGGTGTTAATTGTGGATCCAAGCAAGACGAAGCTGTTTTCATACCCATGTTAATCGCAGCTTTGTTCACAATAGCAAAGAGCTGGAAACAACCTAAGTGCCCATCTACAAACAAATGGATAGAGAAACTCTGATGTATTCACACAATGGAATACTACGCTGCATTGAAAAACAAGGAACTCATGAAGTATTATACAAACTGGGTGACCCTGGAGGACATTATGCTGAGTGAAATATCTCAGTCACAAAAAGACAAATATTGCACAGTGCCACTGTTGTAAAACGGGATTGACATTGGGATTGAGGGGAGACTGAGAAAGAGGGGATAAATAATGTATACATTGAAACAGATGATAAAAAAAAAAGAAACAGATGAGGGGGAGAACTATTTAAAAGCGATATATGATTAGATATTAATTGTCATGACAGGAGTCCAGAGTGAAGGCTGCACAGTGGAGTGGACTGAGGGAGAGGGATTGTATAATAAGGAAAGAATTTTTCTTTTACTTTTCAAAGAGAAGAGCGAACTGGTGGGGAAGGATGGGCAGGGAGAAAAGTGCAACAATGAATGAATGGAAATCCAAAGTCTCTGTAAACTTTCATTAAAATTAATTTTTAAAAAAGGAGAAAAATAAAACAAAAACCCAACTTTCATTATGCAGATGACAAAATCTTACTTGCTTTAAGTAAGGAAGACTTGAAAAACTTAATGCAGATGATCAAAGACTGTGGCCTTCAGTACAGATTACAGTTCAACATGAAGAAAACAAAAGTCCTTATCTCTGGGCCAGTTGGCAACAACGTGATAGGTAGAGAAAAGATTGAAGTTGTCAGTGGTTTCCTCTTATTTGGATCCACAATCATACACACCACCGGCACCGGCAGTCAAGAAATGGGGCTTGAGGGAGCTCTGGTGGCCTAGTGGCAAAAGGCTGCACTGAAATCCCAAAGGCATGTGGTTCAAATCCAGCAGATGCTCTGCTGGAGAAGGAGGGGCAATCTGCTCCTGTGCCAGTCAGATCTGAATTGATGGTACACACAAATAATTTAAAAAAAGAAAGAGAAAAAAAAGAAACCTCTCCAAAATAGTGAAGAGCAATGATGTCAGCTTAGAGACTAAGGTGCACCTGCTTCAAGCCATGGGGTTTTTTTTCAATCACCTGTTGTGCATCTGAGATCTGGACAGTGAGTAATGATGACAAAATAAAGATGAATGCCTTTGAGTTGTAGTGTTGGAGAAGAGTGCTCAGTGTCCCATGAGTCTCTCCAAAGAACAAAGACGTGCATGTATCTTGGAGAAAGTGTAGCCAGAGTTGTTGTTGTTAAGTGCCATCGAGTCACAGGCGACTTAAAGCAACTCTATGAAGGAGAGTGCTCGATGCTTGGGTGCATTTCATCCTCTCTCCAAGTTTATAGGGTTTCCGGAGGCAAGCTATTATAGAAGTGGATGCCACTCCTGCTTCCAAGCTTGTTTTAATTGGGAAGCTCCACCCCAGTCTCTGTCCATTAACACATTTGACATACCAATGTCACAGTGTTCAGCCTCACAGCAACCAAAAGTGACCGCGGTACGCCAACTTGTACACCAGGACTGTAAGACCTAGAGGAATGTCTGAACAAAAACAATGAAAGAAAGGCCCGAGGGCTCCTTAGAAATAAAGATGGGGAAGCTTTCTCTCACATACTTTGAGCCTATTGTTAAGAGAGTCTAATCCTTGGGAAAGGACATCATGCTTGCAAAGGTGGAGGGTCAGTGAAAGAGAGAAAGACCCTCCAAGAGATAGATTGACATCTTGGTTTCTGCCATGGGCTCAAGTCTATCGAGATGATGCAGATGGCACGAGAAAGGACAGGGTGCAGATCTGTTGTGGATAGGATCACTATGAACTGTATTTACCTTAAGGGCACTTAACAACAACAAGTCCTTCCTGATAACATGCTCAAAGTATGTGAGGTGAACTTTCACCATCCTTGTCTGGTTGCATTTCTTCCAAGAAATCTTTTGACTGTGTTGGCAAATCCACAGGACAGTCAGTGTTCTTCTTCATTGTCTCTTCTTCTGTCATTCTTATTCACTGTCCACCCTCCAAGTGCATTCTTGTTGTTGGTGTTGTTGTTAGCTGCTGTCTAGTTGGCTGTGATCCTGTTAGTGGCCGACCTGAACTACCCTTGACCTATCTTATACCACCTTCCTGATTTCCTTGATGTTCAAGCCCGTTGTTACAGTCTCTGTGTTAATCCATCTTGCTGTGACCCTCTGCCTTTTCCAGCCTTTTTCTGTCTTTCCCCCCCCCCCCCCGAGACAACATGCCCAAAGTGTGTGAGGCAAAATTTAAGCATCTCTGCCTCTAAAGAGCACTCTGGTGACACTTCCTCCAAGAGAAAGTTGTTTCTTTGTCATGTGTTGGAAAGAGCGCTCAGATCTGTCAAATGCACAGGAAGCCATCGACAAGAGCATGGCTGAGTGTGGGCGCACTTTAGTCTCTAAATATATATACTTCCTCTTTAGCAATTGGCAACATCATGATAGATGGAGAAAAGATTTGAAACTTTAAAGTACTTCGTACTTCATTTCGCTTGTAACCACAATCAAAACTCCTGGCAGTAGCAGTCAAGAAATGCAAAGAGGGGGGAAGGTTAAGTGCTGTCATGGAGGCTGTTTCAACCCCATCGAAGGCTGAGGGAGTCATTGAAAATCAAGGAGTGCAGTTGGCGACAGGCTGATGAATTTGTCCGAGCAAATGCTACCAATAAACTGACAGTCATAGCTGAGCAAATCCAACATTTGCAAGAACAAGCCAGGAAGGTACTGGAAGATGCTCGCAGAGATGCCGACTTGCATCACGTAGCTTGCAATATTGTGAAAAAACCTGGCAACATTTACTACCTCTATAAACGAGAGAGTGCTCAGCAGTATTTTTCCATCATTTCTCCAAAGGAATGGGGTACAAGTTGTCCACACGACTTCCTTGGTGCCTACAAGTTACAGCATGACTTATCCTGGAGGCCATATGAGGACATTGAGAAACAAGATGCCAAAATCAGCATAATGGACAAATTGCTAAGCCAACCAATGGCCTTGCCTTCATGCACTAAACCCAATTTCCAGGGAC